GACCTGCTCAGGGTCACACAGCCTCACGCACAGTGGCCACAGTGGCCAGCATCTGAGTTCTGGTCCACGCAACTCTGCAACATGCGCTCTGAGTCTTCCAGCCACCAGCTCCCCACCCTGGGGACTTTTTATGGGCTCCACACCCTGGGGTGATTTTTCTTTTTTGCTATACGCAATGCGCATTTTGCTAAATCGAATAACATTTCAAAACTTACAAAGATTTTCATTTCTATTTCCACCCAGCACTTGTGTATGACGACAAAAGGTGGAAAAACATCACCCCCCTAAGATGACTCACGGCCTGGAGGCCCCTTGCTTGCATCAGCCCAGGGAGCCCACACCCAGGTCTGGGGGGGGGGCACTGTTGTGGCCTAGTTTCTTGAATGGGCTGTGTGGAGCTCCATCAATAGCAGGAAAACAAAGAGGACTAGAGAGAGCTTTGCTGGCTGTTGGCGGGCCCTGTTGTCTGCCGGGCTGGGGCGAGGGTGCGGGAGACTTCCAGCAGCTGTTCAGCCCTCAGAGAGGCAGGGCTGGGTAGGGTGGGAAGCCCACCATTTCTCACTCCCATGGCGAGTGCCATGTAACCCTGCTTCCGGAGCGCCTATAGCCACACCCTGCGCCAGCAATGCTTCCAGCTCTTTCTGGGGTTGTCACAGAAAAAACTTCTCTTACCTGGAGGGCATCGGTGGGCTGTCTGCCACATGCTGAGAACCTGCAGCCCCTTGGGCCTTTTTGGGACTGAGATCTTCCAGGTCTCCTTCTTTGCTTATCTGGACGTTCTGAGGTCTGCGGGGAGGAAGGGGCCCATGGGACACCTCCCTTGAAGTCGCCCACACGGGATTAGGTTTCTGCGCTAACATTTACTCACGTAGTCACTGGGTTTGCAGGGTGAGAGAAAGGGGAAGTTAGGGTGAACCTGGAGACCCACCTGAAGGTGGGGCTGTCACAGGAGTCACCTCAGGGCCCCACCCCAGCCCCCTGGCTCTGCACTCCACCTGCTGCTCTGAGAGGCCTGTCCAGGAGTCCTCACACAGAGGCCCTGGCTTCATTCCTCACCTCGCCTTATCATCCCCCGTCACCCCACCCATGGGGTCTTTGGTCTTCCTCCTGGCCCTCGCCTAACCTGACTGGTCTCATCCTTTCCTGCCTGGTAGAGTTACAGCAGCCACCTCGCCACCTCCTAGGAACTGACCTAACCCCTACACTTTCCTCTCTGCAGGACAGGCAGAACCATCCCCTCCCTCCTGTGTTTTCTAATGAAAGTTCTCCAGTGCGGAGCGAAGTTTGCAGACAACACGCTCTCCACCGCCTGCCTTCTGCTCAAGCATCGAGTGCGTCCGATGCACCCCACACTCAGGTGCGGCTTCCTGTGGCTTCCCCATGGGTTCCGTCAGCTTGCCTGTCATTGCCTGGGCTTCGACGTTTATTTGAAATTGGACTTCAGTTCAGAGGAGGCTGAAGCTCAGTTTTCTTTGCTTGTCCGATATCCGGGTTTATCTGACTCAAGTCACCTTTTGTGTGATGCCCACAGTCAGCCCAAGGGGATCTGGGGCACTGTCTGTGGGGCACTGGGCACCATGCTGCTTCTAAGAGACTTCCTGTGTCCAAAAAGGGGGACGAGGAGAACACAGCCCAACTGCGGCCCAGAGAGTTTTAGGACTATGGTAGAACACCCAGTTCAGACTAGGGGCATCTTGCCTCAGCCCTGATTATCACAGCCCTCAAGGAGCCACACAGAGACTCAGAGAAGCAGGAGACATTAAGCGCAGAGAGGGAAATGACTTTGATAACACCATTGCCTCGCAGATGCAGCACTGATTTTATCCAGAGAAGTCTCTGGAACCATTACAATGACTTAGGGCACTTCCCAGCCTGTGGACTGCAGGCATCACATTTTGATACACAGCGGGAGGCACAGACAGTAAGTGCTGAGATCACACACACATGGGACAGTCACCAGACCCTCTCAGGTTATAGAATTTCACCCGCCCCCTACACACAGCAGATCTATTTTCTCCTTTCCAGATAGTTTCATGTACGGCCCCAGGGTGGGTTTGGATCCTGCTCCCATCCCACTGCGGTGACTTTGTCTGTTCTTGGCATTCATGGAAATGCACCATAGCGTGTGCTCCTGGGTGGGGCGTTCTCACTCGGCTGAATGTTTTTGCTATTCTCGGTCTCGCTGCAGTTAGGGGGTGCACAATAATCCATCATCCGAGTGTGCCCCGGTATGCCCCGGTATGCTGATGCATTCTCCTATCGATGGGTGGGCAAGCTGCTTCCTCTCTGGGAAGCCTCCCTGGTGGCGCAGCGGGTTAAAGCACTGCATTGAGAATCTAAAGCCGCTTCCGCATGAGTTCGATTCCCGCCTGCCCCGGAGGTGACCCAC